TCCAAATTTAATGGTTACTTAGGAATTCCCACAGGGATGCCTGGGTGGCTTAGGTGGTTAAGTGTCTGACTTCAGCTCAGGTCATGATCTCATGGTCCTGTGACTTTGAGCGCCACATCGGGCTCTGTGCTGACAGCTCAGATTCTGATTCTGTCTCTCTTTCTCTTTCTCTCTCTCTCTCTCTCTCTCTCTCTCTCTCTCTCTCTCTGCCCCTTTCCCCCTCATGCTCTGTCTCTCTCCTTCTCTGAAAAATGAATAAACCCTAAAAAAAAGAAAAATTAAAAGAATTCCTGCGAAAGTAAGAAGGATCTAAGATTGAAAAATGGAGCCCACCATTGCTAATACTCTGAAATGTTTCCAGAAGTAATTCACAGAGCAAAACATAGGTTTTTGGTATCAGATACATTTAAAAAGTCCTGAAGTTCATGAGAAAAAATTAGGACTGTCCAAAATGAAGTACTCTTTTTTGCAATACTAGCATTAGCTGTATTTCATAACATCAACAAACAAGTATGTTTTGAGCATCTACTATTAGAAACTACTAGGTACTAAACAAGAAATGTTTACTGGCTAAATGAATGGTTAATAAGAACATCTGATGTCCTAGGCAGAAATATTTTTCAAGAAAGTGTCCTGTAAAAATTAGCAAAATTTTCAGATACTAATAATAAGCTATTGATAGATAAACATGTACAAATCTGTAAGATTTTCTGTTATTTTATACTACGTATGGCTTAGGAGAGCCTTTGTTTCCTTCAAACTTACCTCATAAAGTTTTGATTGACTTCAAGTGTTCTTTAAATTATTATTTCAGTTAAGTAAATTACATAACAACAGCTGTCTTAGAATATCTTAACTTTTTGTCATATCTGTGTATAACAACTAGGCAGGTTTGGATCCAGATTTCCTAAATCATAAGTCTCAGTCAGAGTAATCTGATTTGGGATGATAACACATTTCTGTGCCTAATGCTTAACCGAGAAGAGCATTAAAGCAAAAGACAGGTGACGAAAGTTCTCTTTTTCCTCTGCATCTCCATAACTTGGTTGAACATGATAGATTGGCTAGCTTATTGATTTAGGAATGATAAGCAATATTACTTTCCCTAAAGGAAAATTAAGATGATTCATACCAGATTTGAAACTTGATTCTAGCTTCCTGTGTAAACATGTACAAATTTGTAAGTTTGACTCAAATTTGTACCTTGGAAATATCCCCTTATGCATGCAGGAAATCTCAACTTTGTAGTTCCCCAAGAATGTAATGACTGCCTTTATGCGTATACATTATATTCCTGGCAAAGCAATAAAGTACAATATTTAAAGGCTTAGATACTGGTTAAACAACACCCTTGCCTTTGACTAGCTCTGGATTTTTAAAGTTACTGAAACTTTCTGTGTCTGCGTTTCTACATTTATGAAAAAGGAGTGACAATTAAGTATGTTAATTTATGTAAAATACTTAGAACAGTGCCTGACAAATAATAAGCACTGAATACATGTTTACAGACAATAATACTGTACCATTTTTCAATTCGAGTTCTTGTCTATACCATGGACCCAACAGTTCCCTTCAAGGGTGAACTAAGGATGTGCTCAGTAACTGGTCATTTCTGTTCTGAATTCTCATTAAAACTTCTTTTCCAAATTTCAGTCATTCACTTACTACGTTTGTAGGTTTTTTTTTTTCCATGTTCATGTTGCATACTACATATTACTTGTTTAACTGTATCATTTATACTCTATTTTAATGGAAAATATATTCATACCAGTTAAATGTCTTTATGTGATAGGTTTTTCTGCTAAACCTTAAGACTGTGTAAATGATAACTAAAATTAAAACATTCATCAGCTAAAGTCATCTCTTGTGCCTCTCGCAATACATACACAACACATCTTAAAGCATTGTCTTATAGGAAAACTTTCTATAGCAACTGGAAGAGAATATGGAGAGGATGATGGGCCAGTACACCCATCAAAATCTAGTAGTGGTAGGACAAAGGAAGGCATGGGTTAGCCATAGAAGAAATGGTAAGGCTGATATAAGAGAATGCCCAGTGCTTATTCATCAGTATTGTAGAGACATTTGCTTGATACTACTTTCTCTAACATTTAAAGCTTGAGATGTTTTATATGCAAAGAGAATGATTTTTAGCCGAAGACAGGACTAAAGACTGGAAATCCAACAGGTTTCGAAGAAATGGAACAACAACAACAAAAATCCCAGAACTCTTCCACCATTGTAAATTGAATGTAAGACATATAAAATTTTCAGTGAAGATAATAAATCTTAATATAATGACTAACAGTTAAGAGAAGTAAGTTCCAAATGTATAGCAGTATAAAATAAGTGCCTGGTTCCTTAAAAAAGCTTAAATACCAAATATATATGAATATCATATATCATATATAATAATATGTAATATAATGTATAACATATACTATATAATATACACTAAATAATGTGTATAATTATACTATATACTATATAATATATATTCATTTCAAAATGAATTAAGATCAACTATCGTGGTTTTATTTAAGGTAATGCTAGCAGCTGTAAAATTCTCTGAAATACACAATGGCTCCAAGAAATAGAAGTTTATTTCTCACTACATTGCAGTTAGAATTCTACAGGAGCTCTCTTGCTACAGCTTTTCTCTAAGTATAAAATTATTCCAACATAGCAAGTTTGTTAACTAATACAAAATGAGTTTTCCTGGCCTATGTTTGGCTTTTCTCCACATGGTGATTCAGTCTTCGTCCGTCTTGCATCTTCATCGTCCTGCAGGGCCTCTCTCCATGTTTACTCCCAGCCAGCATATGAGGAAAGAAGGAACACAGAGGGAAAGCACTCACTGCTTAGTAGCCTTCAACTGAGAGAGCTTCGCATTGTTTCTGCTCACATCCCATTGGTCTGAATTAGTTTTGTGGCCACTCCTAACTGCAAGGCAGGCTGAGAAATGCAGTCTAGGTATGTGCCCTAGAAAAAGGACAGAATTTTGGTGAGGAAGCATCAGGGTTTGTCACAGTCCTCCCTCCCCTTCACCCTATTATCAGTTCACATCTGCCTTCCAATATCTTTCCGCCTCCCCAAAGAAGACAACCAAAACTCTAATGCAGTTACCACATCAAACTCCAATATCAGCATAGCTGGTGATAAACATAACTCTCTCCATCAGGTCAATTTCTCTCCAGGGGGTTAAGGGTTTAGAACTTGAAAAATAAGTTCTTTGTTCTGTTTTTCCCATCACATCCAACAGGCAATGGTGGAGCAAGAACTCCATAACAGGAAACAAGCAAACAAAAGACTCTCATTTGTAAAGGAAATAAATGGTAAACAGCCAACAGTCACTTGACAGAATGATCATTAAAGCCTGCTGGGCAGGCCCTGTGAGACCCTTGCCCTGGCTGCAGAGTCAGTTCCTGGCTCTCCTGGCTCTCCTTTCTGGGATAATTCCCAATGTCCATTGTTCTCCAAGGTTTCTGGCGCTGCTCTCCACAAGGCTCTTCCTTCTCTGCTATCCCCCACTGGCCGCATCTAAAGTGAGCTTTGAAGAGAATGGTTTCCTTGGAGGTTGTACTGCCTTCATAATGCAGTTTTGTGGGGCAAACATGGGGATCAAGGGTTGTATGGAGTCACAGGTTTTTTTAGGTCAGGCTTCTGTTTTCTTTGGTAATACAATTCTCTCAAAATCTTAACAGACATTGATTTAATTCCTTCAGTCAGTTACATGTGCCACTAACCAGATTCAAAGACATCCAAAGTTCTTTTCTAGGCACTTGGCAGACCCACTTTATTTCTTTAATACCTCACACTCATCCCCCAGTCTCTCTCTTTCTCTTTCTCTCATTCTTTCTTTTCCTACTCCCCTGTCCTGTCCCCCTTTCCCTACCCTCCTTTCTCTTGTTCATGTAAAATACTGGAAAATTCCTATCTAGTAAAATAGTATTATTAATTATAGCTTCTGTTGAAGTTATCAAACAATACAGGATTTCATTATAAATTCCTTCTTTTTCTCTTTTTGTTTTATTATAGAATCTGCCTTTGATGCTTTGGTAGAAACAACAATAAGGCATTTTTAAAATGCTGTTCCTAAAACACTTAGCTATTTATTATTGTGTGTTTAAATACATCTGTAGAAGAAGACATGAAAATTAATAGAACATTGACTCCGAAAAAGCTGAGCTCATATAATAAACACAAAATGTTTCAATATTAAATATTTTGTTCCAGTTACTATTACAGCATTGCAACTCACCCTGAAATACAGAGGTATAAAACACTGATTTTTTTTTTATGCTGACAGAACTTGGTCAAAAATTCAGATAAGACATATCGGGAACAGCCTATTTTACTACACAGTGTTTGAGGCTTCTACTAGGTCTTGAAACATGGTGGTGGGGGGAGGGGTGACTCAATAGGTGGCAGAGGGAAACATCAGAAGATACTATACTCCTATGACTGGCGGTTGGTAGCTCAAACCTCAGCTAGCCTCTTAGCCAGAAAACCTAAGGCCTCTCCTTGTGCTCTCTCTGTGTGAGATGATTTGCGCTTCATCACAACATGGTGAATATTTTCCAAATGAGAGGGTTCTAAAAGAACATGACATTATTTTGCTCTAATATTTTAAATCATGTAGTGTCACTTACTTCTGCCATACTTTTTTTTTTATTGAAACAGCCATAAAGCTCTTCCCAGGTTCAAAATGAAAGAACATAGACCCACCACTTGCGAGGAAGGGTATCAAGGTTACGTGGTAAAAGAAGTATGTGGAACAGGAGATATTGTTGCAGCCAGCATCTTTGAGTACACATTTAATTCAAATTAGTTAACGTCCAAAACATTTACCTTTCATTTTATATCTACTTTGACTTCTTGAATGAATCTGAATATGGTTATGTATCTGTGTACTTTTACTAAAATATGCTCTTTTAAATCATTTAAAGCTTGTTTTGAGAAAAATAATATAATAATATCTAATGTCAATATTTTTGCAGATATCCCGACACAGGAGGAATCATTCACAACATGTCTTGAAAGATGTCATTCCTCCATTGGAACAATTGGTAAGTGATGATTTCCCTGCAATACTGTATTATTTATCTACTGCTACAGAATAAATGATTCCCAACTCACCAACTTGAAACCGTACACATTATTATCTCCTGTTTATGTGGGTGAGGAATCTGGGTGTGGCTTAGCAGAGTCCTTTAGTTCAGAGTCTTTCAAAAGATTGCAATCACACGTTAAGTCAGAATTGGGGGTCACATCTGAAGGTTTGACTGGGGAAGCCATTGGCTTTCCTGTTCATGCACATGGCTGTTGGCAGGGTTCAGCTCCTTCAGGGATGTGGTCCAGGGGCTGCTCTTAGTTTCTTGCCACATAGACTTTGCCAGTATGGCAGCTTCCTTCTTCAAAGCATGCAAACTAAGAAGGCAAGGGATTCTGTTAGCAAGATAGAAGGCAAAATCTCTTGTGACCTACTCATGGTAGTGATATCCTGTCAACGTTTCCATATTCTCTTGGTCAGAATTAAGTCACTTAATCCAGTCCACACTCAAGGAGAAAGGACTACACCGGGCTGTGAATAACAGGAAGCAGAGATTATTTGGGGCTTACTGCAAATTTTGGCAAATTTTTTAAGAAAAAAATTAATCCCTTACCAGCAGATTATAAATCTGTGAAAGCAGGAATTTTTTGTTTCCATTTTTTTTTTATTGTTGTATCCTAATGACTAGAAGAATGCCCGAAACATTGTAAGTAAAATGAATGAAGTTCATTTTTTGGGCTTTCTCATCCTCAGCACCAAAAATGTTTATTTATCTAGCTCAGTTCTCTTATGTTCTTTAATTTTGCATGTCCTAGATCTCCCATCTCCACTGTATTACTTTCTTTGCCTTAGAATAAAAATTCCTTATAAGAATTGCCTACCTCTATTGTTGTCAATTTCTCTCCTCCTTTATCTGTTGAACCAACTCAATTTAGGCTTCTTAAAAAATTTTTCTTAATGTTTATTTATTGATTGATTGATTTTTGAGAGACAGGAGACAGACAGAGTGCAAGCAGGGGGAGGGGCATAGAGAGAGGGAAGCACAGAATCTGAAGCAGGCTCCAGGCTCTGAGCTGTCAGCATGAAGCCTGATGCAGGGCTTGTACCCATGAGGAGCAAGATCATGATGTAAGCCCAAGTCGGATGCTCTACTGACTGAGCCACCCAGGCACCCCTTTTTAGGCTTTTATCCCAACCACCAATCTCCTATCAAGGTCATCAATTTTGTCCATAGTACTAAATCCATTGGTAAAGTCTCATTTCTTTCATTAGATCTGAGAATTTAACCCATCTGATGTCTCTTTGAAGTATTTTCCTTATATAAGTACCAGTAAACTACTTTCTCACGGGTCTCCAATTAATTAAATAGACATCCATTTTCCATTTCCTTTGCTGGTTCATCTTCGTCTTAGAGCTCAACTTAACTTCTTTTTCTTAACTTTCTTTTTCCTTTTCTTTATATTTCTTCCCTACAGTGTATCATTCAGTGCTATGGTTTTATGTACTGTGTTACACTAACCGCTTCTCCAGCATGGACCACTGCTCTAAACTCTAGTACTATATATTGTGGCATATTCATTTATATATCGGACATACGTCTCAAACTTAACATATCCTAAACTGATCCTGATGTTCTCCCAAACTTGCTACTTTCAATCTGCTCCATTTTATTAGATGGAGTAAACTAACTCCATTCTTCCAGGTTCTTCAGTCAAAACTTTTAAAGTCATCTTTGTCTCCTTTGTTTTTCTCATGAAATAAACTTAAACGTCTGTTAGGCTGTTTGCTCTACCTTCAGAATATATCCAGAATCAGCTCTCTTCTCACTATGCCATCTCTCACCTGATTGAATGCAATCGGCTCCAACTAACATGCCACTTCTACCCCTGCTTTCTACGTTTTATTTTCAACATAACAGCCAGAGTGATCTTGTTAAAATGTAAGTTAGGTGATGCCACTGCTTACTTCAAATTCCTTCTGGCCTCCAGCATCTTGCAGGGAAAACACCGAAAATCATCCTGGGTTCGCCAGATTCTACAGGTGTCAGCTATGGCTCTGGCCTCACCTTTCTCCTTCTTCTCCTCGTTAATTCTGCTCCAGCCAAGCTGACCTCCTTACTTCTCTCACAGGACCCTTACACCAGCTCTTTCCTCTGCCTGGTACAAAATCATTTATTTTGGGCCCAGAAACTTGCAAGGCTTATTCTTCATTTGCTTGGAATCTCTATTCAAATATCATCTTTTAAGATGGGTCTTTCCAGGGAATGTGGGTGGCTCAGTTGGTTAAGCATCTGACTCTAGATTTCAGCTCAAGTAATGATCTCACAGGTTTGTGAGTTTCAGCCCCTCATCAGGCTCTGCACTGGCAACATGGAGCCCACTTGAGATCCTTTCTGTCTCTTTCTCTGCCCCTCCCTGGTGCTCTCTAACACTCTCTCTCTCTCAACATAAATAAGTAAACTTGAAAAAAGATGGATCTTTCATAATATTCCTTAAAAACAATAAACAAACAAGAAAATCCACTATTTCCATCACACTTTTTTCTCTTACCCTAAATTATTTTCTCCATAGAACTTGCTACCATGTGGCATATTATACAATTTCTTTTTATTTGTTTGTTACCTCATTAAAATGTTCTGTGAGGGGCGCCTGGGTGGCGCAGTCGGTTGAGTGTCCGACTTCAACCAGGTCACGATCTCGCGGTCCGTGAGTTCGAGCCCCGCGTCGGGCTCTGGGCTGATGGCTCAGAGCCTGGAGCCTGTTTCCGATTCTGTGTCTCCCTCTCTCTCTGCCCCTCCCCCGTTCATGCTCTGTCTCTCTCTGTCCCAAAAATAAATAAACGTTGAAAAAAAAAAAAATAAAATGTTCTGTGAGAGCAGAGGTATTGTCTCCTATGTCCATAACTCCATTTCCATGATTGTAGCACTTGCTAGAACATGCTAAGAACTCAGTAAATGTGTGTTAAATTAATGCACAAATGAAGCTGTTAATGGCTTTTGTTTTTACTTTCAAGTTTATAATACACAGATCTATACTTTTTTCTTTTCATTATCTCATTCTATATATTTTTTTGTTTATTTGTTTTATTTTAAGAGAGAAAGAGTGAGTGGGGAAGGGGAAGAGAGCGAGGGGAACAGAAGATGCAAAGTGGGCTCCACACTGAAAGCAGCAAGCCTGATTCGAGGCTTGAACTCATGAGCCATGAGATCATCACCTGAGCTGAAGTTGGATGCTCAACCAACTGAGCCATCCAGGCGTGCCTCTTATCCTCTATCTTAAAGTGTTAACTAGTCATTTATTCTACTGTGTCTCCTTGTCATCTCAGAAGTGAAATCTCCCAGATTGAACCCATCAGGACCTTCTTCCAAAACTGGTTTCCCTTTCTATCAAGCCTATCGTTATGAGTGGCAAACATGCATCCAGGCTTAGAAGAAATTTTCTGGGATCCTCTTTTTTTGTCTATGGCCCATCAAATAAGTCACCATTTTCCAAACCAGTTTCTCTGCAATGTGTGTGGTACCCACATTTTTCTTTTTTTTTCTTTTTTTTTTTAATTTTTTTTTTCAACATTTATTTATTTTTGGGACAGAGAGAGACACAGCATGAACGGGGGAGGGGCAGAGAGAGAGGGAGACACAGAATCGGAAGCAGGCTCCAGGCTCTGAGCCATCAGCCCAGAGCCCAACGCGGGGCTCGAACCCACGGACCGCGAGATCGTGACCTGGCTGAAGTCGGACGCTTAACCGACTGAGCCACCCAGGCGCCCCAATTTTTTTTTTTTCAACGTTTATTTATTTTTGGGACAGAGAGAGACAGAGCATGAACGGGGGAGGGGCAGAGAGAGAGGGAGACACAGAATCGGAAACAGGCTCCAGGCTCTGAGCCATCAGCCCAGAGCCCAACGCGGGGCTCGAACTCACGGACCGCGAGATCGTGACCTGGTTGAAGTCGGACGCTCAACCGACTGCGCCACCCAGGCGCCCCACCCACATTTTTCTTTATGGTTACACACACACATCCTTGCCCAGGCCTTCAATTCTTCTGATCTCACCGCCCCTCCACCAACCCTCCCATGTACTCTACTGTGCCCCTTCCAATGATCCTGTGTAGCAATTCTACACCAATCTTCTCTAAACAGTACCTTCATTACTTCATTTTCCTTGTCCAGGCATTTAAGAGCTTCCTATTTTCTATAACATCAAGTCTATAGACTTCTCTCATGATCTCTGATTTATCTTATTTATTATCTGTTCTCAAATAACATACCCTCAGGCTAGGAGTGGTAACATGATTAAGATAGGGCTCTTACCCTGAAGGAGCTTGGATTTTCTGTGACAATTATTTCCTTCATCTCAGCACTCTTTTGTGTTGTTCACCCCTAGTTCATGGGTAATAGACTTGCTCCACAGCTAGATTGTAAATGCTTTGAAGTTAGGGGTCATGACTTGTATTTTCTTTATTATATCATACATACCTTTACATTGCTTTTGAGACTAGGGTTTGTTCAGAAAAGACGTGTCTGTCAATTGATTTAATACTAAGATATTAAAGTTGTGTTAAAATTATATTGTTGATTCAGATGTTAACAAATATATGTATGTTTGCTGTTTATAGAGAAAGACGATTTTTTCAATTTAATTAGATGTAACAATAACTTGTTTTCAAAATTAATTACTTGGGTCTCAACTTAGCATTTTCTCTGTGAAGTATTTCTCTGATTCCTCAAATTTGAATCAGGTTAATCCTTTATTGTGTGTCCCTAGTAGCTTGACCTTGCCTCTATCTCTAAATTGCCTCTTTCAATAATCACACTAAAGTTGCCTGTTTCCTTTTCTCTCTCTTATTGAACTGTAAGCTATTTGAAGGGAAGGCTATGTCTCACTCACTGTTTTATTAGGATTTCATATAAGGCCTGGCAAAGTGTAGTTGTCTAGTGAAATGGAAAGCAATTGTATTTATTTTCCATAAATTTGTATTATGGAACAAACAAAGTACATATAAATAATTAAAAGAGATG